TACCCACTTGAATTAAACTATCCTAAATAAAATTGTTAATCAACTTTCTAACACCGACGTTCTTTATCATACGATAAGTATGGGGTTAACCAAGATTCAGCATCTTCCGCGTTCAAACAATCACCTGTAAGGCTAGAACATTAATGGCCAGGTAAAAACATGGTCGGGATTTGATTAACCGGATTATAAGTCGATTTTTTTAGTCGGGATTTGATAAGTCGGATTTTTTTACGCCAACCGCATTTTAAGTCAAGTCAGGTCACTGATCTATGACGTCATAAATGAGCAGTCCTAAAATGAACTATGTGAAACTGTCCTAAACTGTCCTCTACATTTTAGGACTGTGTGCACACTCCTAAAATGTTCCAACTTCGCAACACCCTCAGTGCAGACCTTTCATAGGGAGATGAAACTTACAGGATCTTATAGTATGATCGAGAGTCTCACAGCTTGTATACATGTATATCTCGGATTTTCTGAAGGGTCGCCTGAGATCAGGTCAGTGTCTCACCATTAAAAGTCAGGGGAATATGGAAATTGCTAGTTTGGTCCGGAAATGATATACAACTATCTCAAAATTTCAAGCACACGGAATCGTGATTTCATGCGCTCCTTGCAAGGTCTGATGCTTTAATTTTGCTTTGTTGATCTTGCGTGACGTAATTTATCACGTAACCAAGGGTATCAGTTTTTCGTCAATAATTCCCGATCAACTAAAGCTACCGAGTCGATAAAGCCACTAATGGACATGAAAAGACCTGCCGAATTGATTGATATGCAATATGACCTCCTTTGACCAGCTTCGTGACCTGACGGGCTGTGACCTGACCTTGACCCGAGGTTAACACCTTAACTCTCGCCCGTATTGGTGTTTTTTCCAGCCGCAAACGTATAAGGAAGGGGGGGTCCGTTGGACCCTCCCTTGCCGTTTCGCCCCTGATCGAGCTAGAGCTTCGCGGAAAAAAACGAGCGTGTTGGCCGTGACGAGAGGAAGTCGATGATACCCAATTTTAAGGTCCTAGGTCATCGGTTGACTTTCCAGGTCAGGTCAATGACCCAAAAGTCGGGAAAATCGGGCCTGTTAGAAAGTCGTAAAGCGTGGCTGCTATGGGGTTTTCGGGGTGCTGATCACGAATATCATGTTAGTTTTGATCACAGATGATGTCTTCATGCATTTAGGCCAGGTCGGGTCAGGTCAGGTCCGGTCAACCAGTAAGGGTATTCGAAGTAGGTGGCAACCGCCTCTGACAGCTTCGCAACATGTTACGAGGGCACCAAAACTACTTCGTAAATGTTCATATGGCTGTTAAATTCGAATTCAGCTCCTAAAACTGGCCTAGAAACATGTAAAACTCGAAAAAGTGAACCGAGGTCATCAAAGGTCAATGACCTGACCTGACTTTCCAGTGACCTTGACACCCACCCTAATGCATGGAAGCAACATCATATCCCATGTTTGAACGCTTAAAACCACGAAAAGACTGCAAACGCGCCGCTAATGCGAGCCGACATACGCCGAATCGCGATTCCGGCCAAACATGGTCTCGAAAAGTAGGTCGCAGGTCAAAGGTCATTAAGGTCAGGGTCATGACAATTTTAGGGTGGGTGTAAAATTGATGAACGCGAGGGTAACGAAAGTTTCGTCGCGATCGGCCGCTTTTTACGCGAGTTATTCGCGAAAAACCGAGGGAGGGGGGTCCGTTCGACCCCCCCTCTAGACGGGCGAGGGTTAAGTTGATCTCACCCGAAGAAAAAGTATACCATTCGACACGCCTGAGCTAGACAAACACGATGCTGCTAAAATCGCGGATCTGCGATCATTTTAGCGAAGTTATTTACCAAACACCGAACCTGTGCCTTGGGCGGTGGGCCACTTGACCTGACCTCCGAAGTCATCGGCTGACCCTGGTCCTTAAATCGGAGACCAATCGCTGCATTTCGTAACGACGCACACGATCGTTTCTTTCGTGAGGCTCTAGCTCAATTAGGGGCGAATCGGCGAAGGGGGGTTGGAAGTGTTTCCTCACTTCCAACCCCCAACGTCCCCTCGGTATTCAGAAAACCTGAAGGTCCGGTGAGGGTTAAAACGTTTCTCCTGAACGAGGAAGAAATGTAAAAGTCAAAGCTCTATAGACGTCCTGTAAAAGTGGCCATAATAATAAATTCGTTAGAAATAAGATGCTTTTTAAACGACTTCCTCATATAAAATCGGGTGGTGGGAACAATCTTATAAACGCTTTAGAATGGACAGGGCGTCACTGGCTAAAGTTTGGGTGCAGAAAACGGCTATTACCTACCTAAATGCAAAATGGTTTTCATGCATTTCAGTCAATTGTATATTGTCGGTCCCAGTGGCCGAGCTAAAAAAAAAAATCGGTAGTGTTTTGCATCTTTTACGCCCTAAGAAACTACACCATCTATCGAAGTGGGCGGGCTTATTTGAATGGGAGGGCGCATTATGCACGAATCGAGTGCTTTCGTTTATTTTGGACTGTATTTTACCACATCCACTGCTGGTATCACTATTAATATTATCTAATGCCGTGAATACGACAGCTTTCCATTTATAAGATTGGGCCAATGAAGTCGCGCCCCGCGAGCTCGGTTTTCCGCTGGGCCGCTACAGGCCAGGAAGTCGGGCTTCGCCTGAGGGCAGGACAAAGGTCAGCGAGGGAGCGCGGGGTCAGCCAGGTATCGCCAAGTGCCGAGCGGATGCCGCTCCCTCCCCTCTCTTCCCCTCTTCTCCCCTCCCCACCTCGGTATAGATGGGGAGGGACCGAACTGCCAATGACATGCGAGCGGTCAAGGCCGCTCGCGCGGCAGCGACCCTGGCGGCCGGGTGCCGCAACTGGGATTCAGCCAAGTTACCGATTCGCCTCCTGTGGGAGAGCCAAACCAGGGGACATACTTTTTAGATATACTGTACTTTTCCATCACGCTGGGTGGTGAATGTCCGATTCTCCCCCCCCCCCTCTCCACGGGTCCCCTTCAGTGACCCACTGAGCGCCCAGTGACACGCCCCGCCCCCGCCCCACCCCACCCCACTCTGCCCCGCCTGTCAGTTATGTCGCGGCCACCCGTCATGTAAGATCGACTTACTGCGCAATTAGTCGCGCTTGTCCCGGCCTTCGCAGCTTTGTCTGTCTGTGTGTCTGTGTGTGTGTCACAGCTGACAATCCGCGTACGCACCGGCTGCGTACAATTTGTGCGGTGGGGAAGCGCAGCGCTGTGCTAACGGTCAAAAAGGTCACGAGGCGGGCAGCGTGACTACGAGCTGCTGAGGCGATGGGAGCGCATTTAAAGGAAACGATAAGAACTTTGTTTGGGCGGCGAGCCGGAGAGTGCGCTCTTGGTGCACACTAAGCAGCCGCAGCCGTTTGAGTGTTTAGTTTAGACCAGTCCAGACAGTGGTTGACCAACTGGGAGGTGTTGCTAGGCGCCAGCTACGATGGGACATAGTTTCAACACCATGTTTATGAGAGATGCAATGGAAAAGACGGCGCCGTCGCCAGTGACAAAGCGCCCCTTGCCATATGATATACACACAGAGGCGAAATGAGACTGGTCAGCCTGAATAACGTCTACCCAAACTGGGTTCAATTTGAATCCAAATAGGTTCCGGTACCCCAGCAATGAAAATGAAATGGAAAATGCGACGCAGGGACGGATTGATCGGGAGAAATTAATTGTGATCGGTTATATTTAATTCGGAATATGGATTACCACAGCCTACCTCGACCGTCCATGTATTTATCAATTGGATGGTCTCAAATATAACGCATCTTTTTAGCACAAATATTAGCATTTCATTCTCAGCGTTCAATATAAACATCGTTTTTCCCCAGTAGCGTCTGAATTTGTTCATCAAAGATTACCAATGGGTCACAAAATAAGCTTTAATTGATAAGCAGACATGGCGACACTGAGCTGCCCTCCAAAACCAGTGACAGCCTCACTGACCTGAGTGTATGTAATGTATATAAACTGAGCTTCTGCAAACTGTGATCACATATGCGCCGCTTCGTCCGAAGAGTACTTAAAACTGAGGGGCTCTTTGGGGTGGGTGGGCGTCGGGAAGGATTCCAGACTTCGGGGGGGGGGGGGGGGTCACTGCTGGGAGGCCCCACAAGGAGTGACCCTATGACCTTTACGTTCAAAGGTTGATGACCCAAGTTACGTGAATTGCGTCGGTAGCGCGAAATGACCTTGTGAAGTGAATATCAACACTACAAGTGGAGCGGAGAGGATCGTTCAAAACCATTACACAGTCGTGAAGCTTCGTCTACGGTACGGCGAAAAGATGTCAGACCTTAGATACATAAGCAAGCAAATCCATCTATAAAAACACACACACACCTATAGCTTTGAGCTTTATATTCTAATCCGATTGCGTGTTGACTTCTTTTGTATCTGTAAATTTGGTCACATTGAAATGTGCGAATGAGGCGATTCCTCGTATCGGGATCCGCCACTAGATAAGCCAAAAACGATCCACTCTCTGCCAAGAGCTGAGTACATTTCAAGTGAGTAATGAGTTTCGACATATTTGAGCAGAAAAAAATATGAGAACTGATTAAGTAAGAAAGAGTGCTTTACCAGACCAAAGATGCTTGACGAAATAGCGAGCATATTGACAATACTTTCAATTGAACATTCAACCAGCATATAATAACCGTATCGTTGACAGCTTTCATTGGTGTTAGGGCACCTATACGACAAACGGCAATCATCAAGGAATAATTTTAAGTTTCGCTCATTCAGTAAAAAGAAGACGGTATCCAGTATTCAATGCCCAATGGCCATAAGCATCCACAAATCCATCGACGGGGAAAAAATTGTGTAAAATCAAAATACTTCAAACTAGGGTGCAGTCGCATTCGCAATATCTGCTTTCCGGACGTGCGATACAATAATTATTTATCATCAGAAGGCTTTGGAACATCCGAGCCTGATTGGTTCTACATAGGACCTGCGATACCTATCACTTTCATATAAAGTAATTTATCCGATACAATATATTTGCACAATTTCTTGCACACCAATACAATGAGCCACTCGTCACACATGCATACGAATACACACCCAAAACACATAGGGACTATGACACGTCGGTGTGGTTCTCGTTGATTATAGTGACGACACTGACAATAGTATTCGTATCGGTCAATCTCACGGCCGCCCACCCACTGACAGGGGTAACAGGCCACAAACTTTCAGTTCTGTGTTACTGGACATACGGACACTGAGGGTGCAAACAGTCCGCGTGGGGGGAGCGTGTGTGCCGGTATAGATCAGTATGGCGCAATCACCAGCCACCAGCACAGAGCAGTCGCCGGACCCGTCCAGGGACGGTGTGGACAGCGACAGGGACACACAACGGACACGGAACAGCGACCCAGCCGACACCCACTCCACCAATCTCACTGGCATCACACGAAGCTCGGTATCGGACCGGAGCTGACAGGCTTAGAATCTCACCAGGGAGACTTTAAACCACGTCAAGTGCGAGCACACGGAACCATTCCACTCCGTAATACGGATCACGAATCACTCTCTAAACGAGGGATGCATAACCAAGGGTGAGGATGGCAGCCGCAAACAACGGAATGGGGATGGTGGGGGCCGCCAGCAGAGGGTAAACCCACCCGAGACACCGCCACCGTTCACCGGTGGTGTAACGGCACAGGGGTACCGACAAATTCAGCCACTAGGCCAGCTCCTGTACAGCGCTGGTGAGCGATCACACAGGACGGGGACGACGGAGTCGGTACGCCAGCAACTGAACACGAACAGTCGCACAGGTGTGCGCTGGCAGGTCGAGTGAACGGTGGCCGGTGAGGCCGCAGCTTAGCACGCTGAACAGGAACAGTCCCACATGTGTTTGATATTGACGGGAGTGAACGCCGAACGGTGACCGGTGAGGCCTCGGCTTTGCACACCGCTGGCACAAAAGTCAGCGGTGTATCACCAGACACGTAGTCCGACTAGACACCAGACACGACACCACTACCAGAGGGATAACGTATCATAAAACAGGCTGTCGTAGCTCCAATATTATCAAATATTCAGACAATTTCAACATAAATAGGGACACGCATTTGGTCAGTTGTATCTAACGGATGCCCAGTTCCTTAGGGATATGCAACCTAGGAATAATACGAATCACGAATGCATGGCATCACGATCAACGAGCGCCACGGATATCGTGCACATGTCGCCACTAGGAAATGTTCGTAATCAGAAGCCTAACTATGCTATCGCTAATCACAATTGTCGAATATTCGATTGCCGCCTTCCAGTTTTTCATCCCATGTCGAAAAAAAGAACGCAAGGTTCACACACGCTGGGATGTGTTTCATTCGCACCTCCTGTCGGCCGATGCTGACGCATTGTTCCTGTAAGTTTATCGATGGGGACGCGCATTCGGTAATTGCATGCCATGCACTGCATGGTTCTCATTCAGCTCAGCTTGTTGCCATGAACACTGAAAGGCGACCTAAATCGGCACTAGCGCCATAAGAACACTGCACGATGGAACCGGTGTTTCGCTCCACTTTTATCTCCAGACCATTCATCTAAAATCTCCAGCGTATTCTATTCACAAACTCTTCCTAAATGTCCTAAGCCGTCATCCATCTCACAGCTGTGTTCACCAACAACCAGCAGCGGCACGCGGCGGCCATTCACGGAACCTCAGCCTCACCCATCAGCCGCAGCAGGCGCCGGTGTCGCGCTCACTGAGCGGGCGCCGCCGCCGGCGCTGGACTCAGACTGAGTGTGAGCGTCACACCGCGCCGCAGGAGGGTGGCCACCAGGGCCGGGCAGCTGGGACTGGCCGCCTGCGTCTCGGCCATCCTCCGCAGCTCGTGGAACATGGTGCGCGAGTAGGGGTTGCGGTAAGACGAGTAGCGCAGCGACAGGAAGCGGTAGTAGACGAACGGAGTCAGCAGGCTGCCGCGACCACTGCCGAACGGAGCCGCCATCAGTGACCAGTGCCAGGTGGGTGGAGGAATAGTGTAAAGTGAGTGTCCGGTGGATGGAGACTGGGTAAAGTGACAGTGGCCACCGGTTGTAGACGGGTCTAGTGACAGTGTCTGACGGATGGAGAAAGAGCGTGAACTGACAGTGCCCGGTGGATGGACGAAGAGCGCGATGGCTGGTGACTGACGGGGTTGACAACAAGAGGCGATGGAAGGCAATGGAATGCGATGGAATACGATGGAAAAATATAGGCCCAATGGATGGACACAATCGGCAGTTGTGAGTCTAACCTTTTAAATAACCAGCAAACTCTGATAACAGCATGAGTAAGATAATAAGATTGATTTGTGCTCGTGACTGCTGACGTGTCACAACGTTTATAGGCGTTTGTCATTTGATACGTTAGGGGCATAAAATGCCGTTAGCATCAACGTTTTCAAAGTTTGCAATAAAGAAACTGTTTCTTTTATAAGGCCCATCTGGATAAATTTCCCTCACCGTTGCTGATTACACACGTCAGAACAGAAATACCGCAAAGCTTTTACGGCGCATCAGAAAACAACAATACAGTGGTATGTACTCACGTGAACAGCATGATGATGGTGTACGGCATGAGGATGATCTCGAAGAGCGCCACTGCGCGGAGGATGTTCTGCGACTGGAACTCGAGCGACATCAGGTAGCGCGAGAAAATCGAGTTGTTCTGGCCTGCCATCTGGGGGGAGAGAGAGCGGCAACCACAGAGGTTAGAGCTCGAGAAACAGCCACCGCAAGAAAGAAACGGACTCAAGCGAATCAATGAAAAAAAAACGGATACAATCAAAACGCATTTGTATTCTTGGAGGGATGCCAGCTGTTTCGAAAACTAGATACAAATGAATGAAGTGATACAGAGCAATTTTCATTTAAAATACATTTGACACAACTGCACATAGATTAGTGGATAGATAAGAAATTTATGAAACCCAAAATTCTCAAATCCGTTCACCCTTAAAAATTCCCGTCAATCGATGTGGTGCCAACGAGCGCAGCTGCTCGCAGACGGACATCCCCAGCATCGTAGTATCTTAGACCCCCCCGCCCTCCCCCGTCCACTCACGTCCAGCAGCCGGAGCGCGTAGCTGGCCGCGTGCAGCACAGCGAACAGGGTGGGCGGCACGAGCACCAGTGTGGTCGGCGAGCTGTACAGGAAGATCAGCGCAAAGAACAGGTAGTGGCACGCGTCCTCGGCCATCAGGGTGGCCAGGAACTGGCGGCTCAGCTGCAGCTGCGGCACGCGCTGGTGCAGGCGCAGCGCCGACGTCGCTACCGTGGCCACCAGACACTTGGAGAACGCGTTGGCTGCAGAGCTGGACGGGGCAGGGGCAGACGGCAGTAGTAGTTAGTCAGATAAACAGGTATAAAATGGTCGTATACATCGTTTGTTGGGAAACTCAAGGATCTCGTTTAGCGAATCTTATTTTCATCACTGCAAGGCAATAGCACAAAGTAACTGTCATACCATCATTTGACTAGTGCACAAAGACAAACAATAACATCCAGTAAACATTGGTCAACTCAATAGTCACTTACCCAAACAGGGGTATGACGAAACCAATGGCGAACAAGATCTGTGCCACTCGCGTGCAGAACAGCGCAAATGTGACCTTGTTGGCGCTAATATGCTCCCGGACCACGTCCACGCCAGTGGTGCGTGTCTGCTGTCCGCCCGCGGCCGCTCCGCCGCCGGCCTGACCTCCGTCCGCACCCCCGTCCATAGTGGCGCTGCAGCGGTGATGCCTGTCGATCGGCGAGACGTCAGTGGGAAACCTCTTGGGGCGGGTCGAAGTTGAAGATGCAAATAACTTAGGTGAGGTTTTATTTGCTTGATGGTTGCCACAGTAATACAGTTTCAGTTCAGTTCAGTTCATTTGAAAAAAAAATCCACTTCTCACGAGGCTAAGGTCGACAGTAAGACAACAGTAAGACCATGAAATGACAAGTGACCACTACACGGGTCACACATTTACACACATAAACAACAAACCATTTATAAGTGTACAGCTGAACACGGACGAAAAAAACTTTAAACGTCGCATACATAACCTAGCACAGACAGTCATATTACTTAATCGCTGTCGGCTCTATGCAGCTTTATGCGCTAAGCGGAAGTCGGCAGCAGCAGGGTCCAGGCGGTGCTCGTTTAGCAGTCTGATGCTCCTGTAGCACAGTCTACGCCGGCCAGACTCAGTGCGTATGCGAGGTAGCACGCGGTCACCGGTGTGGCACGTATCGTGCTGGTCAGTCTCAGCTGCACGTGGGCCGATGGTGTGATATAGGTGGGTTGGCCCCCCATACCAGATGACACGCCGCACAGCGCACATAGTGTGGAAATCAATGATCCGCTTGGCTGTAAACCAGCCCAGTTCCTTGATGGCATAAGAAATGTGATGTCGATGGGTGTACACGTTCATGTACAACGTGATGTCAATTTTACAACGCACTTCTTGAAATGCCTGTAAACGGTGAAAATTTGACATTTGACCTGACCTGTGACATCATCAGTTTGACCTAGGTCAATGAAATTGGGTCACAAGGTAGGGTAAAAGCATACAAGTCCGAGTGACTGTTAAAAGATAAGGTATTCTTACATTATTTGACATCCTGAATCCAAAAATTATACTTATGTCTTGCAAATAAAAGGAAAAACATAATCATACCTGACCTAACCTTACCTATTTACCTACAACCTACCAACTATGTAATACGAGAAGTAGTAGCCTTTGCTCATATTAATGTTCAAATAATGCACAAAATTGGATATATTAAAATAATACTGATATTTCGCCTTGCGGCATCATCAGAGTACACACATACAACTTTAGGTTTAACAAAATGCAAGAAAGAAAGAGACACGTGCGACTTTACCACGGGAACAAACGCCAGCCGATAGTCAAATCTTGTCCTATATAAGAACATTGGAAGAACCTATAACATACGTTGACTACATTTTATACATATGATAACAAATACATGTAACAGTACGGTAGAGCGAAGAACAAACACACAACAGCAATAGGAGACGATGTGCAGACTGCAGAGGCCAGAGACCTATACCACACACCATGTCGGTCAGACACCAGAGGGCTACCCTAGTAGAGGCCATGTATCTAACTGATTGTTCAGACTGGGACGCCTGTCCCGAATGGCCAGAGCCTCTGCTATCTTTCTGTCTGCTGCATCTTTGCACCGGCGTATGATGGAGACAGACAGCCGTGGCTCTGACACATTGGGGTGACACTGTTCCATATGATCACCGAATGGGGTCTGCCGAGTGCGATTCGCGCCGTCACGGAAATGCTCATCGAATCTATATCTGATACACCGTTTGGTTTCACCGATATAGACTTGCGGTGGTCCTCCCAAGTCAGCACATATGGTGCACGTGATTGTGTACACCACGTTCTTAGTGGTGCACCGACCCGTCAGACCATTGGTGCACGTGCGGCATGAACGCTTTCCAGCGCGGCATGGAGGTGGGTCTAACGCCGAGTGAACAAGGCGTCTTTGGATGGTGTTCTCGTTCTTCCAAGACGCCGTGAGACTCGGATTGACTGATTTTAGGGCAGCATCTACTCTCCTAGTCAGGGTGTCGTCTATGAAAGGAAGGGTAACGTATATCCTGTCTTTCTTCTGTGGTCGTTTTGTTGTCTTTTTAGGGTGTTTGTGCTGACGTATAGCTTGTCGAGCCACCCCGTCAAGCCAGCGGGGTGGGTAGCCGTTAGAGAGGAACAGTGCACGAATCATATCCATGCTGTGTTTGGCGCTGGTCTGATCTGAAGAGACTTTGAGTGCACGTAGAAACTGTGACTTCACTACTGCTTTTTTTCATCTTAAACGGCTGGGCGGAATCGTACGGGAGGATGATGGAGGCTGCTATCGGCTTTATGTAAAGTTGGGTGGTATACTGGCCATCCGGGCGCACGCTGATGATAGTGTCCAAAAATGGAATCTGTCCGCATTGTTCAGCTGTATCTGTCCGTTCGATGGTAAATTTGATAGTGGGATGGACTGTGTTCAGATACTCAAAATAGGACGTTAGGGAGTCTTCTCCGTGCGACCACACGCACAGACAGTCATCGATATAACGCATGTACATGTCCGGCTGGACACGATCCGATGACAGAAATATTTCCTCTAGGGCTCCCATGAAGATAATCGCTACTGACGGGGCTATGCGACTACCCATAGGCAGTCCCATGTACCCACCTCCCATGGACCCACCTCCATGCCGCGCTGGAAAGCGTTCATGCCGCACGTGCACCAATGGTCTGACGGGTCGGTGCACCACTAAGAACGTGGTGTACACAATCACGTGCACCATATGTGCTGACTTGGGAGGACCACCGCAAGTCTATATCGGTGAAACCAGGGGGGTACGCTCCGGCTGTTAAGCATTATGAAAAATGGTGACAGACGTTTGTGGAGGATTGTCGACGAACTCTTGTTCCGTGAGCAGTACTTACACGCTAGCGGAAAATTCACCAATCAGCGCTCGGCGGTACTCGACGCTGATTGGTCCGACGCTTGTGACGAAATTGCGGGGGACCGCAGTTATTCTCTATGGACCCGAATAGGCTTTTGGATTTCGGAGGGGTTTCTTTAAAATTATATGCTGTTTCGAGCTGTTTTCGAGTTGAAATATATTTCTTATGACTGTTACCTATATAATGGCACCATAAAATCATGATTTTGATAAATATTACCGATGAAATATCGGCCGAAAAGACATGCTGTCATGGTACGGACTGCCCTGCGGCTGATGTGGGGTCCCTAATGCCAGCGTATGGTAATAATGGGGTGACGAAGGTTTATTGGAGACTCTTAGAGCCCCATCAGCATTCAGCATAGGGTCATCAGAGGCCGGGAACGTCCATCAGGGGTCTGAGTAGGCCTGTCATAGGGGCATACATGACACATCATGGCCCATGGGTCAATGTAGATCCATGGGGCCGTTGAAGGGCCAGCATTGTTCAGCGTGGGCTCGCAATTACCTCTGATGGGCATATGCCGTGCCCCGATGGACTAACGCTGGCCCCTGATGAACCATCACCAGCCCCTGATAGGTCTACAAAGCCCACTGCTGGGTCTAAATTGGTCACTGATATGCCCAAATGGGCCACTGAGAAACCCGTACAACATCCCCTGACTGCACCTGCTGGACCAGTGCCGTCCTCTCATGGGCCCACCACAGCTCTTGAATGACCTTTTCAAGTCCCTTGAAGTGCCTTTATTGGCCTAAATGGCCCCTGATTGGCTTATGTGGTCCCTATTGGTCCTATATGGCCCCCATGAGCCCTCAACGTCCCTAGACGGCCTTACATTATATGTCACTGGGCCCTGTTGGGTCAGCACCGGCCCCTGATAGGCTTGCACTGGACCCACCGGGCCTATACCGACCCATGAAGGGCCTATGTCGAGCCCTCATGGGCCTCCGATGACCACACGCCGGCATGTGTGGCCCCATCAGCAGTGGTCCGTCTATCCCATGTACTTACGGTCTTTTTGGTCGATGTGACACCGGTAGTATATAGAAATGTTATGATTAAATGTCGTTATTACACAGTCAAAAGTCACAGAAAGAATATCCAAGCTCAAAAATGGCCTCAAACCCAACAAAAACTGGTACAAATCCCCTTCAAAAGCCGTAAGTCTATTAAACGCCATAGGGGAATAGCTGCAGTCCCCCGCAATTTCGTCACGAGCATCGGGCCAATCAGCGTTGAGTATTGCCGAACGCCGATTGGTCGATTTCCGCTAGCCTGTAAATGCTGCTTGCGGATATAGTTTTGAACAAAAGAGGGTCGCGGCTACTAATTATCGCTTGTCACCACTTTTTCGTCGGGAGCGTTCTACCTGGTTTATATAGCCTTGGGTGAAACCAAACGGTGTATCAGATATAGATTCGATGAGCATTTCCGTGACGGCGCGAATCGCACTCGGCAGACCCCATTCGGTGATCATATGGAACAGTGTCACCCCAATGTGTCAGAGCCACGGCTGTCTGTCTCCATCATACGCCGGTGCAAAGATGCAGCAGACAGAAAGATAGCAGAGGCTCTGGCCATTCGGGACAGGCGTCCCAGTCTGAACAATCAGTTAGATACATGGCCTCTACTAGGGTAGCCCTCTGGTGTCTGACCGACATGGTGTGTGGTATAGGTCTCTGGCCTCTGCAGTCTGCACATCGTCTCCTATTGCTGTTGTGTGTTTGTTCTTCGCTCTACCGTACTGTTACATGTATTTGTTATCATATGTATAAAATGTAGTCAACGTATGTTATAGGTTCTTCCAATGTTCTTATATAGGACAAGATTTGACTATCGGCTGGCGTTTGTTCCCGTGGTAAAGTCGCACGTGTCTCTTTCTTTCTTGCATTTTGTTAAACCTAAAGTTGTATGTGTGTACTCTGATGATGCCGCAAGGCGAAATATCAGTATTATTTTAATATATCCAATTTTGTGCATTATTTGAACATTAATATGAGCAAAGGCTACTACTTCTCGTATTACATAGTATATATAACGATGCTCATCACAGCCATCCATTTCATTTACAACCTACCAACCTACAACCTACAAACCTACAACCTAAAACCTACAAACCTACCAACCTAAAACTAAAACCTACAAACCTGAACCTACAACGTAACCTAACCTAAAACCTAAAATTTTTGCTGTTACATTTTTGTATCAACAGCGTCACAATTGTCCACTCGGACCTAATATATACTAATACCCAAGGTAGGTAGTTCCCTGTTGGGGCTATCCAACACCATTTGCCGCTTGTCGCTATATTGCATGGTTCAGTAGGCGGAACTATGGTCATGAGTACCCAAATATAGGAACGTTCCCATTTTTGGGAACGGAGTTCCCAAATATGGGAACGGGCGTTCCCATTTATGAGAACGGAAGGCAATTTTTCGGCCGTTCGCCCACTAAAACTCAAAAGTGCATCACGTCTCAAAAAAGTGCACGCTGATTTAAGTATCTACTAAATCTCCATAAAGTTATCTTTAATCTGACCGTGGAACAAGGAAATTGACCGTGGAATGATATTTTTAATGATTTTTTAAAAATGACAGAATGGTGGAAATATGGGTTATACGACATTTAACATGCAATTTTAAGGAAAATGAAGCATTTTTTACATTTTGAGGTCAAGTATAATAATTTTCGCCTGGTTATGAAATTTCATTCTAGCGACACCAGATGCTGACATATGCAAGCGAACACGCGGACAGTCCCGAGGTAATATTGTTGACTTTTGGTGTCGGGGCGATCGACCGCGTGGAACGTCAGTGATTTTACCGAACTACTGTTGTAAACTCAGTTTCAGTGGTTTAAAATCATTCAGCTGTATTTTATCAGCCCTGAAAGACATATTTTATTTGGATGCTAGCTGTTTAGCGTTGTTTTATAAGCAGCGTCATGAGCGTGGTTTTTGTCTTCGGCGTTTCTAAGCATGATCGTTTGGGGGGAATTTCTCTGATATAGGTCGCTCTGTGTGGCTTATTTATAATTTTTATGCTGATTTCGATCATACCTCGTGCCCATCCTACCAGGCCTTTTGCCACTTACACTCATTAAGAAAGGAAAAAACTAGATTTTCATTGGGACTAGGTGTTTTGAGGGTGTAACATATTCAGCGTTCCCATTTTTGGATACTTCTTGTGCTCGTCAACTCTCGGTGATTAGCAGACAGGTGCTTGACATGTCTCCACCCTCGGCGCGGACGGTGGATATAGGTATGGAAGACCTTGTTGAACATCGCTGAGCGTTGTGGATTACGTAATCCTGCAGAGGGGGGCGTGCCCGCTGCGAGATCGACGGGAATAAAAGCGCAGAAGACCGGGCGAAACATGCAACGGTCTTGCCGGAAAGGTCATCTGATGATTGTTGCGTTAACAATAATTTGCGGCGTTGGACGTGATGCTTGTTAATGAAAAGAGCCCCTGAAAGGCGTCGGTGAAATCGTTCCCAATTTTGGGTACGCCGTTCCCATAATAAGGAACGCTTGCAGCGCCAGTGTACGAGAGCGTTCCCAAATTTGGGCTCGCGGCCCGGGTGATGGACTGCTTTAGAAATAGGGGAACGATTTGAAACTACGATGGGCCTTACAATATCAAACTCTTTCCCATCAATATTGAGACAACTATCAGGTGGTTCACGATCGTTTTATATTTTTTGGACGTCATTTAACAGTTCTTTTTCTTGTTTTAAATAATGCCTACATGGCGTTCCCATATTTGGGTTTATCGTTCCCAAACATGGGAACGAAAATGCGTTCCCGAAAATGGGTACGCTTGACCATAGTTCCGCCTACTGGGTTCTTGAGATCTTAGGGGGGACAAATTGCCCCCCAGCAGGGCGCGTTACTCATCAGACCCCAACGGGGCGCGGATTAAAATAAATACTGCTTCAGCATGAGTTGACACTTAAGCCCCAAACCACCCATTCATGCATTCTGAAAATGGCCAACTTGGCCAGCTTACCAACTTACCCCAATATGTCCCTAATGAGTAAACGAGCAGATTAGGCACTATGGACGACAAATAACTTGGATGTCTCTTCAGCTATCTGCTACAAGGAACTTCTTAAAAACAGACAAATATCCGCAACTATTCACTGTGAGATCTCCGGGAATCTGAAAACAATAAACTAAACGCCGTGTGCCCAGAAATATATGTTCAACCTGTTCAATCGGTCTATCAGCGACATCAACACGTGTATTGTCGCCATTGGAAGGACCGCACTAGAAAAGACAAAGGAAGTCCCAGAACTGAAATAATTAAGCAAAAAATAATAAATCTACAGCTCATCACTGCTCAGAGTTAAGAGCAGCTTGAAGAAAACGCTCTTTGAAATGCAAAATACAGCAAAATCTGCCACTTTATGAAATTATTACATCAGACCCAGCGACCAATAGCGACTGTCGACGTAGAGAGCATATTTCCAGAAGAACACGTCTGTTGCTGTCACATTTGCGTCACAAATTGCCCCCTGCATCATCCCTGCATCATGCAGACATTTTTTTTCCACTGATAAATCACAGCTAAATAAAAAACGACGAGTGACAAGTTTACTACACGCTTATATTGACCCATTTCGCTGCAAGATGGGTGTGATACCTAGTCTTTATCTCTTGAATATTTGATAAACTGAATAATTTATTTAAAATCTTTTAGCAGTCATTACTCAGTCCATAGCCTACACTAGCATGTATATTTGACATTTTACGACCATCATACGATCAGGCGTTATCGATAAACATGCCTATATTTTCTACACTGTAAAAACAAGCATGATTGGGTGGCATGTGCTTTCCCTCATGGTGCCTAACTTTTACGTAATTCAATACCTACATCTTGCATTCAACTATTTTTTGCACAATCAAAATGCTTTCCTGATCAACGATCACCATCATGGTGAGCCGCGTATTTACAAATTGCAACCGAGCTCCGCCGTGGGGTAAGGTGGGCAGGGGTTTTCGCACTACGGCTGCGGTTGAACTACCGTCTGTGGTAGAAACTTCAGGACGATGGCGCGTTTCATACGAAATCTGGCGCAATGTTTGTTTGCTTCTGTACTTGTACTGTTATTTGCTGTGAATTCTTGAAGTGGGAGTGTTTCAATAACAATTTATGGATTATTTGAGTTTCTTTATATAAACATAATACTGATATGATCAATTACTTAGTTTGGGAATTGATACACATTTTGTAGAGATTTGTCTGGCAAATGGTGTAACAAACCTCAAGCCTATCATGATCTGAAGCTGTTATAGGTAACATCAAAATTGCTTCAATGTTACCTTGTACCTTGTTGGAAAGACTGGAGCATGTTTCAAGATGATGCGTAAAAATTCAAGATTTGTGCGAAAGCTTGTGACTGAAGAACGAAAACAGTTTGATATGATGGCTCAATCAAACGTGGAAATGGACGACAAAAGTAGAGTTTCAACATTCCAGCATGTGAGAATAACTTCAGAAATTCATAGTTCTTGTAGTATTGCATTCTTCTTATGTACAGTTAATAGGTTTTGTTAGGGTATTTCAAATTCATTGTGTCAGTTGTGAGTTGAGACATAGATGGATTGCGGAAAGTTTTTTAGAATCATTGTATGGTACCTAGCTAGGTACCTACTTGTTCGGTAAAAAGGTATGTGTTGAATGCCATGAGAAGGTTTTTTATGATTTAATATATGGTCGTTGTTGTACCTACAAAAATGCAAGCTTACTAGCAACTAGTTTCTGAATCAAATTGAAAGTACCTATTTGCCATGAATGTAAATATGTACCTGCAAAGTATGTCAATAAATTTGTGTGATGTTGACCAGAGAGTTTTATCATCTGGGCATTTATGTCGCTTCCTACATTAGGTGTTAAGCATAGTAATTACGGATGAACTTTGTGCCAATATCTTCAATGCACATTGCACAATGTATTAGCATGTCTACAACCCTCACTGATCCTGCTATAGCTATAGGCATTTGGCACCAGCTTGACCAAGGGCATGAACTTCACAGTTGCACAACCTTTTGTTTTGTCATGTACCACCAGTCATTTTTTTGTGCACCAGTCACTTTTTTGTGCACATAGCAGTGCACACAACAATGTGCAGAGGGCCTACACTAAAACAACATGATTAGTGTGCACTATGCACAGCATTGTACCCTGATTATTTGAATATTTTGACCACTCAACAGTCAACAGTCAGGAGATAATTATTTAATATCACATTTATTATACATCACTTGTCAAACAATAGCATGATGACACACATTTTGACAAGCATTCATGGTAGTATTCCAATAAGTTGGACAGTCACCTCCCTGGGCGTCATTTTTCCGGGAAGGTACCTCTGCAGTGTTGTGGTAGGCTAGGTTGAATTGGGTTAAGTTAGGCGAAGTAAGGTGGTTAGGACCAGGTCAGACCGTAAGGCCTGGTCAGGTTGATTTTAATCTTTCATTCTAATTTGACATAGATACCTATTCCCTATGTTTTTGCTCCAGCCTGAATTTCATTAGGTAATGAGTTAGTTTTGCTTTGTTTTTATCTGTCTTGTTTTGTGTTTTTGTCCCTTATATTTTGCCCCATAGGCAAGGGTGGATCTTTTCCAGGAAAGGTGGTGGAGCATGATTGGAGGCGCTCAACCAGACGGCATAGGAGGGCACGATTTCTGAACGCGCACTGATGCCTGATTCAAGCCACGCTGTCTTCATGCGGGGCGGCGCGCTACTTAAAAGTCCCTAAAAGAACGGGAAATGATGCCGATAGAACCTTCAATCATTCTGGGCTAACGCTTATGACTTGGAAAAAGTCGCGATCCCAATTCAATCGAAAACCTGTGGGCTCTTGTTCAGCAGGAGGTGTATGAAGAGCCACCCGCCATAAGCACTGCTCAACCGCAGGCACAGGTTTAGACGGCGTTGGTCCGCATCAAAGCCAGTGTGCTGGAGAATTCATTGGCTGAAATGCTCCAGAACGTTCACCACTGTGTTTTTATGAAAGGTGGCTACAAGCTCAGTTAAAAGAAAAAGTACCAGATTGTTTTGCTTTTTAATTACAGCGGGAAGAAAGGTGTCCGGATAATTTCGTTACACCCCCTGTAATGTTCAAATCCTCCTCCTATAATTGGGACAACACAAGAGCCCGTTGGAGGGAGGCCTGAATAAAAAAATAGTTGCTAAATTCGAAATCAGCTCCAAAAACTAGCCTAGAAACATGTAAAACTCGAAAAAGGAACCGAGGTCATCAAAGGTCATTGAGCTGACCTGACCTTCAGGTGACCTTGACACCCACCCTAATGCATGGGACCAGCATCATATCACATGTTTCAACGCTTGAAACCACGTGAAGACTGCAACCGCGCGGCTAATGCGATCCGACATACGCCGAATCGCGATTCGGGCCAAACATGGTCTCGAGAAATAGGTCACAGGTCAAAGGTCATTTAGGTCAGGGTCATGAAATTTTCAGGGTAGGTGTAAAATTGATAAAATCGGGGGCATTGAAATTTTCGTCGCGATCGGACGGTTTTTACACGAGTTACTCACGAAAAACCGATAAAGCGCACCCAAAAAGGCAGAAATATGCACAAGCGATATCCTATACTGCAAAAAAGTGCATCATTTTTTTAACGTCGCCGACAAATTGTAATTACCCTAAGCTCAGGCAGATGTATGGTAGAAAATGCCCCAAGTGAAATACACTACGGCGGAAATAAAATACCCTACGGCGGAGCTCGGTTGCAATTTGTAAATACGCTGGTGAGCCCGCTCCACGGTCGTCAAGTTAGATGTAAGTGAATCCTAATCTATAATCTAAGATTCGGAATCAGGTGAGCCCCTACGATTTGGACCAAACTTGGTCAGTGGATAGTACGTAACGTCCTGATTACGATGCACCCAAAATCTAAGCTCGGCCCGCCATATTTACGAAGTTACGGATGTTTGAATTTCAAGGTCATTCGGGAGAGCCCCTGCGATTTCCGTCAAAATTTGTGTACGGACACTCTGGATGCTCCTCATTACGAATATCACAAAATTTAAGCTCGGCCCGCCATATTTACGAAGTTACGGAGGTTTGAATTTCAAGGTCATTTGGGTGAGCCCCTACGATTTCCGTCAAAATTTGTGTACGGACACTCCAGACGCTCCTCATTACGAATATCGCAAAATTTAAGCTCGGCCCGCCATATTTACGAAGTTACGGAGTTACAAAGTTACGGAATTTCAAGGTCATTGGGAGAGCCCCTCCGATTTTCGTCGAAATTTGTATGCGGACACAGTACATGCTCCTCATTACGAATATCGTAAAAGCTAAGCTCGGCCCGCACTATTTCAAAAGTTAGAGATGTTTGAATTTCAGTGAGTTTCAAACGTCAGTAACTTTTGAAATAGTGCGGGCCGAGCTTAGCTTTTACGATATTCGTAATGAGGAGCATGTACTGTGTCCGCATACAAATTTTGACGAAAATCGGAGGGGCTCTCCCAATGACCTTGAAATTCCGTAACTTTGTGACTCCGTAACTTCGTAAATATGGCGGGCCGAGCTTAAATTTTGCGATATTCGTAATGAGGAGCGTCTGGAGTGTCCGTACACAAATTTTGACGGAAATCGTAGGGGCTCACCCAAATGACCTTGAAATTCAAACCTCCGTAACTTCGTAAATATGGCGGGCCGAGCTTAAATTTTGTGATATTCGTAATGAGGAGCATCTAGAGTGTCCGTACACAAATTTTGACGGAAATCGTAGGGGCTCTCCCGAATGACCTTGAAATTCAAACATCCGTAACTTCGTAAATATGGCGGGCCGAGCTTAGATTTTGGGTGCATCGTAATCAGGACGTTACGTACTATCCACTGACCAAGTTTGGTCCAAATCGTAGGGGCTCACCTGATTCCGAATCTTAGATTATAGATTAGGATTCACTTACATCTAACTTGACGACCGTGCCCGCTCCAAGATTGGGTTGGGTGGTCGAAGTAGTCAGACCGTTACCAAAATCAGGACGGGAGGAGGGCATATAACTAATACGGTGTCGGTTACGGTCGGTTGGACGGAAGAGCTGATCACAGCTCATCCCTAATGGATCATGTGCGCATTGCCCTGCCCCTCTGGCATTTCCGGCCCTATTTCGTAACATGAACAAAAACTGAAGGCAAAGTGAGGCGTGGGCAGAAAAAAAAAACAACATCCTACGCACTCGGAGTAAGTAGACATAGCGCGCACCGTGTGGCGTTCCACCCCGCAGCC